GCAGCCTTTATAGACATCAAAGGATCCACACAGGAGAAAAACTGCATAAATACCTGGACTGTGGAAAGAGCTTCAGTCGGAGGAGCAGCCTTTATGTACATCAAAGGATCCATTCAGAAGAAAAACCGTATAAATGCCTGGAGTGTGGAAAGAGTTTCAATCGGAGGGATCCCCTTTATGTTCATCAAAGGATCCACACAGGAGACAAACCACATAAATGCCTGGAGTGTGGAAAGAGTTTCAGTCAGAGGGGCAGCCTTTATGTACATCAAAGGATCCACACAGGAGAAAAACCACATAAATGCCTGGAGTGTGGAAAGAGTTTCAGTCAGAGGGGCAGCCTTTATGTACATCAAAGGATCCACACAGGAGAAAAACTGCATAAATGCTTGGAGTGTGGAAAGAGTTTCAGATATAGGAGCAACCTTTATGTACATCAAGGGATCCACACAGGAGAAAAACCGCATAAATGCCTGGAGTGTGGAAAGAGCTTCACTCAGAGGAACAGCCTTTATGTACATCAAAGGATCCACTCAGGAGAGAAACCATATAAATGCTTGGAGTGTGGAAAGAGCTTCAGATATAGGAGCAACCTTTATGTACATCAAAGGATCCACTCAGGAGAGAAACCATATAAATGCCTCCAGTGTGGAAAGAGCTTTACTGAAAGTGGAAGTCTCCGTAAACATCGAAGAATTCACACAGGAGAAACCCTATAAATGCCTGGAATGTGGAAGGAGCTTCAATAAGGCAGGAACTCTGTGTAATCAAAGGATCCACAGAGGAGAAAATCCATATGTCTGGAGTTTGGAAGGTGTGAACACTTACCCTTCCTTGCCATCTCATCCTTTGTGTGTCAACATGAGTGTGTAATGTATTCTCATCTGAAACACTCAAGAGTAAGTAAAGTTATGGACAGCACCATTTTACTCTTCCCTCTATTGCTACTCTCTGTTTAATGATTCTGCTGTTCTGTGATGCCTAATAGTTGAATTTGAATAATTTTACACACTTTTCAAGGGGTACGTAATCTGATGAGTACAAGTGTATTCAACTCCACAAACTCGTATCACAATTTCTTCTGATTGGTGAGATTTCATCTTGAGATCCAGAAGCTGCTACTGGAATGTTCTGAAGAATCTTCCCAATTTCCATTGTGCCCACGGTTCTTTTCCATGGGCCTGGAAATGAGGGCGTTCTCTCCTGGGTTAATTCTTCCCTTGAAATAAGACTCTCGCCCCTTCTGTACCTTTTGGCCCACTCCCTCCTTCCACACAGAGAACAAACTGCACTCTTGGTTATTAATGAGCCAATTCACCCTTTTCTCTCCATTTTGCCTCCCACCTGATCCTTAGTGCTACCTTTGCTCTCTGCTTAGCCATTCAAGTTATTTGGGCCGTAACTTTTGCCTCCTGTGAAGACCTCTGTGTTGCAGGAATACAGTCCTTGCTGAGGGCCAATTAACAGGTTTCTTGCACTTGGTTGCACTTTCTTGTAACTTTAATAATGATAACCTTGTAATATGGAAGGTTTCTGCCTTAGCATCCAGGTGTGTGTAACTTTCTAACTTCAAAACAAGGGACTCTCTCAGACTGAATAGCCAAGGACTTTTTCAATTGTACATGCTAGAGGTTTCAGCTGGCCAAAATTGTATCTTTTCTCAACAGATTTAAGTGGCTCAAGATGCCTTTTCCCATGGGAACGTTCTCCTTTTAATATAGTGGTTTTAAATGGTTATGTTATTATGGGATGTTTCACTTACTTTCCATGTTTCTGAATGTAACAGGATTTCTTCCAACTATTCTTTTGTACTTTTTCTGCTGTTTTGTCCTGTGTTTTTGTAAGATTAATAAGTTGCCTTTAAATCTTCTAATTTGAACAAGTGGCAGAATCTAGGTGTCTGACCTGCCCCAACTGGGTCCCTTAGGAAGGAAAGATCTTCAACTTCATCGGATTGGAGCAAAAAGTGCCTCTGTTAGAAACCAATTCTGGGCTTCTCTGAGCTTCATCGCCTGTCATTTCTCCCCTCCCTGTTTCCCATCACGTACAAACATTGTCCATTTGTCCACCCCATGCCCCTCCAGATGGCAGGAACTGGCAGGACCTGACACGGGGGCTAATTTGGCCTTCATTGTTGGGGATGTGACCGAGCTCCTCCCTGTCATTGTTTGATATAATCTAAATGGGTTTTCCAAAGGTCAGCGCCATCTAAGACCATCCCCAGATATCTGAAACTCTTGTACATCGGATGCTCTCAATGGTCCCCTCGTCTTCAAAGCTTTTTAGCAGAAACAGGAGATTCTCTAAGGCCAACAAAGCTTTGTGAGATACAATCCAGATCCTCAGCATAGAGGAAGAGAAGTAGGGCCCAGGGATTCAGGCAGGTGTAAGCAGGAGACAGTCAGATGAGCTGTTGAGGAGTGGAAGTGCTACTTAAAGAGGGTGGAGGTCTAAATACAGCCCTGGGGGACTTTTCTGAAGCACATTTCATACAAATGCTGAATGAGAAAAAGTAACATCCATTTGTACTGTATTCTCCACGTTCATCAAGATTTTTCTCAAATGGAGTCAAATGTAGGTTTAAAATCTACAAAGGCTTCATGTAGTGATTTTGTTTTATTTAGAAGAATGTTAGTCATAAATCAAAATTTACACCTAATGCATTATGCAAGGAACTGTCGATACTGTTTAATTGCATCAGTTTCAATGGATTTCACAGTAAATTGAAATTATTTGTTAATAATAAGGCAACCCTAAATACTTTTTGCTCCAACGGGAGGATT